GAGAGAGAGAGAGAGAGAGAGAGAGAGAGAGAGAGAGAGAGAGAGAGAGAGAGAGAGAGAGAAGTACTTGGGCATTCGCGTAAATCATTTGAACTCATTTGTAGAGTAGCGAAGCTCAGAGTCTGCTGCCATGCATGCCATTGCCATAATTATGCTCCCTGCACGGATCATGAAATCCTACTCCTGGTTTTCTGCTGAGTGCTCGCGCCATTTCGATGGCTTTGTCGGTGGGACTAGCCATGGGACTTGAATGGGTCCTCCTCGCCCTTTTCTGTTTGACCGGCGCCACAGGGGATCTGGCGGCAACAGGCACGAACCTCCGTCGTGATCGCCCGATCCGGACAGCCAGTCCCGACATCTGCGGCAATCGCCGCATGGGAACAGTGAGTCCGGACCCGGACCTCTCGGCTGATGTTCGGATCGGGACCGTCAGTGCGGACCTCTCGAGTGATGGCCGGATCGGGACCGTCATCTCGTATCGCTCAAGTAGTAATCGGCGGCGGATCGGGACAGCCAGTCCGGCCCGCTTGCGTGATCGCGGGTTCGCGGCGGTCAGTTGGGACCACTTGGGTGATCGCCGGATCGGGACAGTCAGCCCGGAGCTTATGGGTAATCGCCAAATCGGGACAGTCCGTCGGGACCTCTGTTGTGATCGCGGGATCGGGACAGTCGGTCGGGACGCCACTGCTTGTCAGTGGCAGCAGAGACTGGGACCACAATGTCGTACCAAGGGTCGGTTTTCAAGGGGAAGGAATTTTGAGGCGTCAGCTTTTTGAAGCTGAAGGGCACGCTCACACTAGGTACCCAAATTCCCAAAAAATGGGAAAATGGGAACGGCCGTTCTGAGGAAATGCGGCCGTGGCCGGTCACAAAAAATGGGAAAATGGGAACGGCCGTTCTGAGGAAATGCGGCCGTGGCCGGTCACACTGTGTTCCCAAAACGCTAACGACAAGGTCGCTACATCATACTCTGCGAGGTGGTTGTGGAGGGCGCCGGTCACACGGTGGATACCTCAAATGGCAAATGCAATTACTCGTTTTGTCAATTGATAGGCCGCTAATATCGTGGGGTTCCATTTTTCTCCAATACTGCACGATAATTCGGAAAAAGATTTGAGAATTTGCGGTAACCTCCAGAGGTCACCGCAAATTTCCTCCCCCCGCGGCTTCGCAGGCCGCTGACAAATGGTCACCCCTTTTGAGAATTTGGGCAGATGTTCACCATGTGTGACTGTCCGGGAACTCTTTTTTTGGGGGGAAATGGGAATTTGGTACCTAGTGTGAGCGTGCCCGAAGTCTGGAAATGCTCTCGCTTTCTCGGCACCACAGGTGGGGACCACCACGAGCCGAGCTTGCCACAGATCGATCATAATGATTTTGTAAAGATGCACATCGAGTCTGAGGAGGCTGCATTAGAGAGCTCGTGCATTCTTCTCTGTTTCTTCTTTCAATCCTTGTTGCCTGCTTCATGCTCTGCAGGATCGGCTTCACTCTCGAATGGAACGCATGGAGCAATCAAGGAGGGTGGAAGGAGGAGGAGGAGGAGGAGGAGGAGGAGGAAGGGGGGAAGATGGAGAATACAGAGGAGGTTGCTTGTCAATGATTGGAGAATCGACGACTTCGGTCAGGTTGTCGGAAATGAGAACATTCCTCTGGAGCATCGCCACGTGTCAAGCGATGACGACGAGTCATCAACAACATCGGCGCGCAGCTCGACCTCATCTTATCTAATTAGCCACCGCCGTGGCATGTCCGCTATCCGATCGGCCTCGGTCCCCTCATCTTCAAGCACCGGGTTATCGTCAGCGACCGGTCGTCGCAGTAATTCGTCGGCGACGGCGACCGCTTCCTCGCATCCACCGACCGCTCCGGCGCATCAGGCGGCGACCACTTCAACGGACCCGGCGACCGACTCTGCGCGGATCCCAACCGTTTCGAGTCTGAGACACATGGCACCTGCTCCCGCTTCTTCGCAAGGGTCGGACGCTTGGCCGCAGTCGCGCCCTAAAGCGATGGCCGGTATCCCGGCTCCTCCTGATCAACTCAACGGCGATCCTTTTGCCATCATGACGCACTCCTCAGCTTCATTACCCTCCTCCTCTTCTTTTCTACGTCATTCCCAAGGGAGCTCGCAGTACTGGAGGATGGCACTAATTATCTCGACGTTTGTCGGGGTCGGAGGACTCATGCTTTGCGCGGCAAACATCTTTCGAGAGGGGCGTGTGCCCCTCGATGGACAGATTGGGGGAGTGGCGGAGGTGGAGGTGGAGGTAGAGGAGCAGGAGGGGGAGGAGGGGGAGATCGTGGAGCAGGTCGTGACTAACTGAGAAGAACGTACGGTGAACGGACTCACATGAATACTACGCTCGAGGAAGGAGGAGGAGGAGCAGAAGGAGGAGGAGGAGCAGAAGGAGGAGGAGGAGGAGATGGCGGAAGAGGAGGAGGAGGAGAGGAGGAGAAGATGGCGGAGCAGGTGGTGAGACGAAGGAGGAGGAGGAGGAGGAGGAGGAGGGGGGGAGATCGCGGATGCGGTGGTGACAAACTTAGAAGAACGTATGGGAACAGGATTCGCATGAGTACTTTTTCGAAGGAATCTACCCGGAATTAAGCTCAGATGCACCCAGGAAAGTTCATACTCAACTATGCTCCGAGTCTCTTATTAGCCTTTCGAGAGCCGTCGTCGTCGTCGTCGTCTTTGGCTATGGAGGAGATGGAGGTTGATGATGGAGGAGAGAAGTTCAATCGGGAAGGCGATGATCGTGGTGGCGGAGAAGGTACCAATTAATCTCTGCTTCTCTCGGATTAATCGGTAGGATACGGTAATCGACGACCTCTTCTCTCGAGCTCGGGGGATGCCGATCATGAAGAAGAGGTTATCTAAATTCGAGGGAAGAGGGAGGGATACTAATCTCTTCAAATTGTTTATCTAGTAGAGGAAGGAAGACTTTAATCGGCTTCTTGCTTGTTACTTCGCGTTTCGCATGCTGCCTACCCGTCTTTTCCCGAATACAACGTACCGTCATTATAGGCTTATAGCTGAATTTGGGGTATCTTTCAGTCTACATTCAGCTGTAATGACCTTACGTTCTATTCGGGGGAAGAAGCGGGGTAGCTCAACCTCAAGCCAAGCTGACGTGGAAGAAGAAGGATACCGACTGAGTGATCTGTTGTCTATCTAGAGGTGACCGTCTTCTTCGTCGTCTTCATCTTCATCGTCCTTGTCGTCTTGTACTGACATATCACGTGGCAGCAATGGCGCGGTTCAACAGCGAGAAAGGGGGAAGGAACGATGATGGGTTGATGATGGGTTGTCCACGTGGCGATGATGGGGACGACGAGAACGATGATGCGGGGGGAAAAAGAACTTAGCCGAATGAGCTGATGATGCCGGAGGTGATGATCTGTGTGTCTATATGATAGCAGCATGGTGGTGATGGTTGATGGTGGAGCAATCCCGATCCGTGTGAGAGTTCATCGACCTGCGGAGGATCTTATCGGGCTTCGAATCGTGAACCTTGAACCTACCTACAAGGCGAAAACTGAAGTCTCAGTCAAAGCTCTACTTTTTTTTTTTTAATTGTTACTTTTTTTCCTTTTTTTTTATTGTTACTTTTTTTCTTTTTTTTTTTTTTTTTTTTTTTTTTTTTTTTTTTTTTTTTTTTTTTTTTTTTTTTTTTTTTTTTTTTTTTTTTTTTTTTTAAGTCAAAGCTGTACTACCTGCCGTACTGCTACAATGTTGTAAGGCGAATGTGGTACCGAATGCATGTCAATTTTTATTCTTATTATTTTTTTTTAATTATTATTTTTTTACAGGGTTTATTATCAGTCCTTGGGGATATCCGGTAAAATTGGATCGATACAGAGATACAGAGGGTTAAGTTTTTACCCCTCCGTCAATCTCAATTTACCAAAAAAGAGTATCCCATCCGTTAAAATACTAAAAAATGACACGCACAAATGGAGAAAAAAGGGGAAAAAAAAAACGAATTTATTATCGTCCTCCTTCACTCTCAATCACTCTCACTTTACCAAAAAGAGTATCCCATCCGTCCAGAGGCGAGGTCCGACTAGCAAAGAGGATTGGGAATTGGGTTTAACGTCCGAATCTCGACGTGCAAGTTGGATAGGTGCAAAAAATCGCGAGATCTGTCTTTCTGCATCTCAGCATGAATCATTTCCAGATTCAGGCACTTCATCCGATCCCCTTCGCTAGTGGGACTTCGCCCCAGGACCCCTTATTTCACAAGATCGCCGCCCTTATATAGAGGAAAAAAGGTGATTAAAAAAAAAAAAAAAGCGTGATTATGCGTGCCATCTTTGCGCAGTTGGGGACCTGTTCTTTTTTTTTTTTTTTCTGGCTTGCGGGACGGGGCGGCATGGTAATCTGCTCTATATCTGTCCAATTCACAGCCGAAGAAGTTCCATCGTCTTCCGCAGAGTAGAATGCAGTTCAATGCACGGTAATACTAATTATAGCTGTATTTGGGCCAGCTTCTAGTCTAGATACAGCACAGGAGTGATTATGCGGAACAGAACGCACGGTATTTATAGCTGAGCTGTACTTGGGGCAACTTTCAGTCTAGATGCGGCAGCAATTGTCATGCGGAATAGAAAGCACGGTATGTAACTGTAATTGGGGCGAACTTTCAGTCCAGATACAATTTCCACCAATTATCCCATGAATCATGTGGAATAGATCGCACGGTAATTATAGCTGCACCTGGGGCAACTTGCAGTCTAGATACAGTAGGAATGATAATGCGTTCTGTTCCGAACCGGTAGAAGACGGTAGGTAGTGCGAGCCGTTGATATCCGACAGCTGACCCCATAAAGGGTTGGCTCAATTTGTCCCCCCCCCAAAAAAAAAAAGAAAAAAAGGGGTTGGCTCATTTTGTCCAAGCGGAGTAATGCTTGCCGGGGATAAGTAACCGGACTGGTACCCCCCAGAATATAAAGGGGTTGTTGGCTCAATTTGTCCCAAAAAAAGAAAAAAAAGAAAAAAAAAAAAAAAAAAAAGAAAGAGAGAAATCAGTGGAGAGGGGGGAGTATTGAACAAGAGGCAAATCCACGTCCACATCTATTTATTATCCTTAATTATTTTCCTCCAGTTTGTGGTGTCTAGCTTCTTCCCCCCGAATAGAACGAGCGGTCATTATGTTGTATCTAGACTGAAAGTTGTCCCATATACAGCGAGAATGACCGTGCTTTCCCAAAAAAAAAAAAAAAAAAAAAGAATGACCGTGCGCTGTATGCGGGGAAAAACGGTTGTCATTATCTTACAGTAAAGCCGCTTCGCCTCGTCTATTT